CCGAAACCAACTGTAGTCAAAGTGATGCCTCTGTGAAGCATTTCATCCAACACCTTACGGGCATTCTTTAGGTTCCCAGTGAATTGCAGGTTTCAGATTGGATTTTGGAAGCTGCAGAATGGAGGAGTTGTTGGAAAATCGAGAAAGCAATATGGATTTTCCTGCCTGCAAGGTGGGAGCATATAAGTGACTGATAAACGCAAGGGTCAAGGTGGATATGGAGGGTTTTGATGTGCTTTACGAGCATTTCTAAATTGGTGGGCAATGGAGAGAGATTTGAGGATGGATTGGAAAGTAGCAGAAGTGTGCAAGAAATCCGGCTGCTGAGAGGCCCAGATAAAGAAGCCAAGAGTCAGGTCGGGAAATGCAAAATAAATAAGAACGAGAGCAAGGGAGAGAAAGAGAGGAAGAGAAAGGGAACGGAGAGAGTTTGTGGAGAAGAGGTGTATCTAACCCTAGAGGAATGGAGAAAGAAAATAGAGAAGAAAAGGAAGAGGGGAAGAGGAGAAGATGAGAGGATGAGAAAGCGGCGGCGACGGAGGAAATTTACGAAAACCCTAGAGACGAAGTATATGCAGACGTCTGGCGCATCGCGCGGAAAAAAAAAGCTGGTGACTCACATGTGCGGCACGTGAGAGGACGACGAAAACAGCCACGTCAGAAGAGCTCTTCGGCTCTTATTCTACTTATGTTGATTAAGGGAGAATCGAGGGAACATTAGCTTTGCAGTTGATCGGAGAAGGAGAGAGAAGGGATTGACAACTTTTTTTTAGAGGAGAGGGTATAAGTGGGCTTACGAACACACCGAAACCAACTGTAGTCAAAGTGATGCCTCTGTGAAGCATTTCATCCAACACCTTACGGGCATTCTTTAGGTTCCCAGTGAATTGCAGGTTTCAGATTGGATTTTGGAAGCTGCAGAATGGAGGAGTTGTTGGAAAATCGAGAAAGCAATATGGATTTTCCTGCCTGCAAGGTGGGAGCATATAAGTGACTGATAAACGCAAGGGTCAAGGTGGATATGGAGGGTTTTGATGTGCTTTACGAGCATTTCTAAATTGGTGGGCAATGGAGAGAGATTTGAGGATGGATTGGAAAGTAGCAGAAGTGTGCAAGAAATCCGGCTGCTGAGAGGCCCAGATAAAGAAGCCAAGAGTCAGGTCGGGAAATGCAAAATAAATAAGAACGAGAGCAAGGGAGAGAAAGAGAGGAAGAGAAAGGGAACGGAGAGAGTTTGTGGAGAAGAGGTGTATCTAACCCTAGAGGAATGGAGAAAGAAAATAGAGAAGAAAAGGAAGAGGGGAAGAGGAGAAGATGAGAGGATGAGAAAGCGGCGGCGACGGAGGAAATTTACGAAAACCCTAGAGACGAAGTATATGCAGACGTCTGGCGCATCGCGCGGAAAAAAAAAGCTGGTGACTCACATGTGCGGCACGTGAGAGGACGACGAAAACAGCCACGTCAGAAGAGCTCTTCGGCTCTTATTCTACTTATGTTGATAACTGTATATGTGTGTATCCAAGTGCAGGTGAAGAGAAACGTCTCAGATACTACTGCAATTGGAAACTACACATAAAACAGTGAAAGCGTGCACATGAATTTGCTCTTTAGGGTATCATCCAAGTGATTAATGAGGGTTGCCACGGATTAAGGTGGAACTTAAGTAGTAGGACAAAACTCTTAAAAAACGGGACAACCTAACCTTAATGATCCCCTACAATTTACTACTAATTTAAGTTTTAAGCAACTTCTCAACACTCACCTCCTAGATTTACTCCTAGCTTTGCACGGAATGATGCCAAAACGCTAATACAAGTTGATAAAGGATCCACCACTTCCTGACAAAAAAAGTCATGTATTTAAATTTTGCTGCCGTTGACGTGAGAGTTTTGTTAGTGATTAATCTATAAGTAACTTGTAAGGAATTAATAATCCGGGAAGCATATCTTGACTTGTAACAGCGACCTGAACAGAAATCAATAAATGATTGGAGTAAAAAATAAAAGTTGTCTTTGCCACAAAAGTTGTCTACTGTATCTATATGATTGGAAAGAATCACCTTAAAATTATATTGGGCTGGGTGGAAAATTAACGGAACTGTACAGAACTACTTTCCAAAATCATTCAAAGGAGCAAAAATTGCATGTCACCGGCTTATTTTTCTTCGCTGAAAATGAACTGATTATGACTGCTTTTGTCGAGTGAAAAGCTCTTACAACAACATGGTACAATTTCAAGAAAACAGGAGTAACATTTACGAACACAAAAGTCACAAAACATTAAGGATGGCACACGTACAGTAGTATATTACAACATTCAAGGTGCATTCGAGGTGGAACCGGACCGATGCCTTGTTGCTGCAAAGCGATTAATCAAGGCAAGAGCATTACTAGTAACTTGAGCAACATAAACAACTCTTCTTGTAATAGGAGCCTTCACTTTTCCATTCATGTAAGACCCAGAAAACCCATCAAGACAAGTGCTTTCATCAGTTAAAGCTGCACTAACCCAAGTCTGCACATTACTCATGTGCCACGTGAAATCCCGACTGGTTACCTGATTATTCAACCGGGCGAGTTCTTGCATAGATTGGCTGAGCTGATCAAAACTATCAACCATGTTGTCTTTGCAGTCTTTAAGAGCCTGAGATTCTCTAGGGTTCAATCCTGTGGAGTTGGAGAACTTGGCAACAAACAGTTTTGTGGATTGAGCTTTGCTTAAGGCGACTGTTAAGGCAGCTCGAACTAACTGTCTTTCACTTTGTTGGATGGTATTGGAATAGGGTGCAAGCGATGTAACGCACAACGCATAAAATCTGGTGGTTTTGCAGGCTGCTTTGATGAAATCTGATGCAGAAACAGTAGGATCTGAAGTGGCTGGATTGAAGTAGTGGAAAGACAAAAACAGTAGCAAGTAAAAGCCACAGTTGGCCATGCTAATTTTTCTTCTTGGAAGTTTTGGTTTATTGATTGGAGTTGGGCCTTTCTTTTTCTGAGCTAGGTGAAGTAACAAGTACAGCTAAGGAAGCACGTATATAGATCTCTTGAAGAACTGAAAAAGAAGGCTGGAAAAACAGAAAACATTTCAATGAGGTTAAGGGTTGTCACATGCCAATGCTGTCTTTACCTTGTCTTCTCTTTCCTTGCCTTTTTTTTTTCTTCTTCATTATTTTAAATGCTTATCTATGATACTAACTTGCAAGGCATTTAACTAGTCTATAATCTCACTGGTTCGGGAGAATCTCACAGGTAGTTAGGTAAAGATGTACTCCTTTTTTTTTTAAAAAAAAAAAAAAAGGAAAGGATAGAGATGTACTCAGCGACCAAAAATAAAATAAAATAAAGAAAATGGAGGTACACTGATTAGATTTATGTTTTTTTTTTTGCTAGTTTATTGATGCCAGAGCTTTTCTTCTTACATGTCAACTTGGCAATAATATAGTAGTATGATTTATGACAAGGAAGTGATTGAGATTTGGTACCAAAAGCACTAAAAAGGAAGATTTGCTTTTATGTAAAGGTTCCTTTAGACAAATGTTCAGGCAGCTTGTTAACAGTCATCACTCATCATTCAGTTTGAGTTCAAAAGCATGTTTCATAATTCAATTTGAGTTCACTCATGGTTTTTTCATCTTCAATTTGTCAAACTTTTTAGTTTTCTGAAGGGCAAAGTAATCAGAGATGGCAAATGGAAAGAAGAGTTGAATTTCAAGATGGAGAGCAATGATTACTGCTCCGATTTCTCGAATTATTGTCTTTGGGTACGGAAAACAATCAAGAACAAGAAATGGAATGAAGAGGGTTAGAATTGAATATGATTTCAAGATGTTGAAGAAAGAACCCTCTTTGCATACTACGGTGCAAATATTTTTTTACTATATATTATGATGGCCTAACTGCAGAAACTTAAATTCAACCCAAAAAAAAAAAAAAACTAAAAGGATAGCGACGGTTGTTCGGCAGGTAAGTGGCTCCAAGATTTGGCAAAAACCCTTTTAATCTCAAAGTAATTTTGAGAATTTTCATTTGGAACTACCTTTTTCCCTTAGAGTTTTAGAAAAATTCAATTGCTTCACCCACCTAACTTTTGTTTGAGGGAAAATATTAACTTCTTCAAATATTTTTGGACGGCTATTAAATTAGTTAATCTAAAAAATGCAACTCCTCACTAAATGCTCTAATATTAAGTACATATTATGTTCTTAAGATTTTGTATATTGTCGCTAAAGACATCTTTTTATAAACATACACAATGAACGTTTGTAACTAATTGGCTATTCCATTTATGAACTTTGAATTAGAACTTTACGATATTTTTTGTTGTCTATAATTTGCTATTGAAGTGTAGTGATTTTATCTTTTTGATTTTTCGCACAGACTGGTAAGAAAAAGAAGATAGAGACACTAATAATTATATAAAATATGATATATTAACACATATCTTAAGCCATTATTGCGCTTTTAGCTTCCTGATTATGTTGTGGACTACTGCTTTGTTAAAATTTGTGTTTTGCATGGGCTTTGAGCATATAATGTCATATTAATTTCCAAATGATAAGTTCATTGGGAATCATCAGGGTGTCATGCTTGCTAAAATGTTCCTTGTAAAAAATTCTGATACGAGTTGATGACTTCCAACAGAGTTGAGGGACTAAAATTCTGATAAGAACTCTACTCTCTCTCTCTCTCTGCCGATTGGTTGATGGTTCTGGATTGCTCTTGAATTGATCAAAACACTACGCAATGAAGATAATTGTAATGCTTCTTTGTCCCCTATGCCAAATGATTTTGAAGGTGTCTATTAGTAATCTCGATCAAGGTAAAAAAAAAAAAAAGAAAGAAAAAAGTTCTTGGTTGCTTGGGGTGCATGCCGCCTCAATGTCCAGGTAGCATAGCACCTTTAGTTTTATTCATGTAATCATGTCATGCCACTTCATCGTCCATTGAATCCTGATGTTTTGCCAACAATAATGTTTTTTGCATGCACAGAAAGAAAAAGGATTTTCCAAACAAAATATTGTTCCAGTATTTTAGTGGCAAATCGAAGTTAATGCTTGAATCTCAGAACTGTTTGCAGCCAACGATGCAAAAACAGTATATTTTTCATCCATATAACAGCTAAAAGTAGGATAAAAATATAAAGTAAGTAAGAATTCCTGAATGGCAGCTCCATAGCCATAATAGCACTGCTCCACAAACCTAAGGGCTGTGGTAGGAAACTTCGAATCCAAACTAGCACTGCGGTGTTCCTATCTGATTTGGTTAAAAGAAAAAAAAAATCTAAGATCAGCCAATAAAGTTTCGAAATAAAAGCAATTGCTTCATGATTAAACCCACAAATAGTAGAACTTGAATGTACCAGATGCAATCCAAGTGGTAATCCTATCTATTATGTTTCATATCTAAACTTCAACAGTGATCTTAGCTTCTTAAGCATATTATTCGGTTAACTGGGTACAATTAACCATTGGAGTGTGCATTTTTGAAGCGTGGTAAATATCAGATATGATTGTGAGCATTTGACCAAAATGATAGGAAGAGTACTTGATGTTTGTCCAATCCGATGCTAAACAGTTATATACTTCAGCACAGCACCCCGAAGCTTTGACATATATTCTGCTGCTTCCTTCTGCATGTCAAGGGAAAATTTCCATCAGGTCAATAATCACCGTGAATTGCTCAATGTTCCACTGATGTACTGAAACCCAAAATTTCTTCCATAGCATCAAAGAGTTTGTCTAATTTCTCATAGAGTACAAGTAGGAATGCTTGTAAGTTTAGGGACCTTCAGTTGAACAATTCAATCCTATTTAGATGGGCAGCCATCTGAGGTACAGAGCCATATGAAATGAAACTGACATTGCCTAAATGATTGAAGTAATAAGAAAGAGCAAAGTGTCTCCTCTGAGAAATAGGTTATCTTAATAGTGTTAAAGGAATGGTTAGCCCTTCAATTAAGTACTTGAATGCCTTCAAGATGACGACGGCAATTACTCTTGTTATAATATTCTTCTTCTTCATTTTCACAAATCAATCCTAGAGGGATTCATATGGTAATATGGTGCGTAGTGAAATATTGAATCATTAAGAGACAAATGTTTCTTGGTTGAGCCGGGCCAAGCCAATAAACCATGAATGGTTTCTCTACATTATTCAACTAAATCAACCAGCAAGTATAGCTAACATGATGAACTCCTTCTAGACAATACTTCAAACATATGAACAAGGAAAGAACTACTAATAGGCATCAGCTTCAATCCTGGATACCACATAAAAGGATTCTCATTAAGATTTTCAAAAAATTAAAGTTGACAATAGGACAGAACAAAACAAATTGCAGTATTTGTTAGCTGACAAATCATTTTTCTGATGTTTCATACCTGGTTAGCGCTGAATGCATTTGCAATATTCTCATCGAGAAGTGTCAGTAGGGATCTATTTAACTCATTCTTCTCAACCAACTCCAATAGCTGCAAGTTGAAGGTTGTAACTAGGTAGTACACAGTTAAAATATAAATTGTTCTATGAAGAGTTTCTGGTGAAAGAAAGAGAACATACAGTTGTCTTTACATCCTTTGATGTCAAAATCTTGGCCAAGCTGTTCTTTGCTGTTACAAGGTCTGCTTGCAATTTATCATAGGCTTCTGTAAAATGACAAGGATCAGAATTCTTGTGGCTTTCTAGAGAGGAAAAGTTGCAACAATTTAATCATAGTGAGTTTAGTGGATTTGTAACCTGTTCCTTCCTGAAGGGCTTTTAGCAGAGCTTCTAACTCAATTTGTCTATCCTCCATATCCTAGAAAGAACAATCACCAAATTATACCATGAAACAGACTCATCAATGTGCTGATGTATTGATTTTTGACAAACCTGAGTTTTTGATACAGCAAATCTCAACTTTCCCAATTCCAGCTGAATGTGTGAAAAGAACTCCTCATTCAATCTACAAAATCGTTCAGCATGTCACATAAATAAGGAACTCTTTTTCTTTTTTTTTTCTGGACACGATAGATCTATTCCTACTCTATACTATGGGGAGGAAGCTGACCCAACAGGATCAAGGGGGAGGGGGGGATTCGGGATAACTGAACCACCACTGGTCCAGATAGGTATTTACGCACTTGTTGGCGAAACATTCCAAGAAACCTTGGATTTTAGAATGCAGGTCAAGGGATTGACACCCAAGTAAAGCCTTAAAACTCCCTTGGTGGCCAGCTACTCTAACACTAGTTGGTTCACAGAAATAAGGAACTCACAAACCAATTTACTGATTGAACCAACTTGCATAGAGTAGCATCATAATGAAGCTATAAAGGGATGTAAAGAAATGCCAATTAATATAACTTAAACAAGATGCAGGCATATTCTAAGTAGTCATGAGACCAGAAAGTAGAAAGATTTCCAAGTAAATTACGATTAGGTCCTTTTAGAGGAAAATTCTATTCTATGCTTCCCATATTTTGCATTTTACGCTGTTTGGCATCTAGGAGACTAGGAAAGTCACCAATTGCTACATACATCCTGATCAAGCTAACAAGCTTATGTGTAAGTATCGACAAATCTGTTCATATAATCGGAAATGGGAGATCAAAATGTTAGGTACTCATATTCCCTGTGCATTTTCCTTTAAAATCACGAAAGCAAAGAACTCACCGAGGTCTCAACCTAGCAATCTCAAATTCCAGCTCTCGAGCTTCGGTATCAAGAAAATACTCGACGAGTTCTGCAACAGTATCTGGTACAGCACGAGCCTGAAAAAAAAAAGAAAAAGAAAGAAAGAAAGATGAAGCCATTTAAACACTATAAAATCCAATTGATCGTATATATTCAATGCAGTCAACTACTAGTATCAGAATTCAAAGTACTAACTTACCTCGCGAACAGTGCGGCGACGCTCTTTTTCTTGGCGAACCTGGCGTTCAAAAGCATCTCGAGCATCGGCATCTTTTTCCAGGCGCCTCTTGAAATCCAGTCTTGCGATGTGGCCTCCTTGCGCTGGTCCTAACACGCCTTCTGGGTCCTTTCTTTACAGTTTCCATCAAGAAAAAACACGAAATTAACATGAATCAGACATAGTTCTTGGTCGATAAATACAAGTATCTGTAATTAGAGATAGAGGGAGATACCCATCCTATGCAGCGAATTTGGGTTGAAAATTTTCTGGGTTTCGCCATATTTGTCTGTTGGAAGTGAGCTATGGAGGTGGCCGGGGCGCAGGAGGGAAGGCGGAGAAGGAGAGAGGGAGCCATAGTTATGAGTGGTTATGGCAGTTGTTGATAGGGAGCCATATTTACTACTGTCTTCTTATCCATTTGAAATGCCCACCAAAATTAACAGACTGTAAACCGTTAATCTTCCAACCGAATGACTGTTACCGGACTCTGTAACCAAACGCCCAAATACTGGGTTTGTTTGGATTGTGAATTATTAGAAATATTTTTACTGTAGCACTTTTTGTGACGTGATGTATGTGAGATAAAAAGGTAATTGAAAAGATAAAAAGATGCGTTGGAAATTGTAATGATGATGTAAGCAAATGTATTTTGATAAATAAATCGCAATCCAAACAAACCCAGTACTGTTTTTTCACATCTAACCTATATTTATTTCTTTAGTTTTTAGTTAATCTTACCTGTATTAAAATATTAAAAAATCTTACCTATATTTATTCCTCTAGTCTTTATTTTTTTTTATAAGAAGATGAATGGGATTTAAGGAGCAAAAAAAATTAAGAGAAAATTGAATCCAAAACCTCCTATTCTTGGAATAACCTTAACAATTAGAGCAAGTGTTTCTTGACTATTTCTTTAGTTTTTAGTTCGCAAGTAATACTTGGCCCTTCTATTAATCCATTTGGTTTATGCAACAACTACTACAAGTTGAACTCGTAATAATTGGAACATAGAGTTTGGTTGCAATATAATTAGTTACAATTTTATTTTCGTGGCGTTTAATTTGCAAGAAAATAATAAAGTTTTTTATGCATTTTTTGTCCTACAAATTTTTAGGATTTTACGAGAAAATAGTGGGTTTGGGGCAGGTACATTTAGGTTTAAGTGCGATTCGTATAATTATTGTATTTTTTTCATGATTTGATGTAAATTTACATAACTTTATTGTATTTCTTGACATACAACACAAATTATATAAGTGTAACAAATCATGAAATATAACAAAGTTATGCAAATGTACACTATATCATGAAAAAGTACAACAATCATACAAACTGAACCTAAGCCTAGCCGTACCTGCTCCATTCCCGAAAATAGACCCGTTTGGCAAGTGAGTTTTTTAGGTGTTTGTCTAAAATTTTACTGTAATTTACGGTAAAAGTTGTATGAAAAAATTTTAGGATAAATTTTTTTTTTCCTTTTTCTTTCCCCCTATTCTCCTTCTCCCTCTCCTCCTCACCCTCCCAACGCCATAGAACTCGCAGCCATGGATTTTTTTTTTTTTTTGCTTTTTCTCTCCCCCTCTCCTCCCCTCCCCCACTCTCCTCTCTCTCCCCCTAGCTACTATCTAGTCACACGACTAGATCGCAGCCCCCCTTCCCTCCCTCTTTGCACGATCTAGTCAAGCGATCAGATTGCAGTTAGGGGGAAAGGGAGGGTGGCGAGGGAGGGAGAGAGAAGAAGAGAGGGAGACAGGAGGGAGAAAGAAAAAAAAGAAAAAAAATGGGAGGACCAACAGATTGGTCAAAGGGGGAGGGAGAGGGGATGATAGGAGGAGAGGGGGAAGGGAAAGGGAGAAAAGAAAAAAAAAAAAGGAAGGCTGGCACTGAAATCGGCGTCGGAAGCGGCGGTGGAGGTGATGGCCCGCGACAGAGGACGTGGTGGGTTAGATGGGGGAGGAAGAAGAAAAAAAAAAGAAGGAAAATTTTTATGTATTTGATACTTTGAAATGAACATGTTAAAAATTTTGATAAATTTTTTTGAATTATTATAATTAAAATTATTAAAAAATTAGCAACATACAAACTTGATAAAAAATTCAAGTACCAAATAGGGCCATCGTTACGTAAAATAACCCCAATAGCTACAACAATTACGAGTTTTCTCCTACTTTTTTATTCAAGCTGACATGCGGCCCAAAGTAACTTTTGGATGTTATTGATTCAAGCATGGGTGAGAAAGCTCTCAAGGCCTTAAAATTTAATGAGAGTTGGGAAATCATGGTATTGTGTTTTCTGAAATGGAGCCCATTTTCTTTGTGTAAACGCCAGACTCGGGCAATCTAGCCCCGTGAGTATTGATGAGGTTTACAGGATCAGCTTTCTATTGGGCTTTTGTCAAGGCCCATGATAATCTCCTTCGCGATGAAGGTTTTTTTTTTAAAAAAAAAAAATTTCATGAACATGAAGCTTGGTTATTTTATGCTAGAAATATGGACTTAAATTACAAGTTCTCGAACGGTTTAATTGGTTATTTATGTACTTCTATATAATCTTCTTATTTCTGACAATTGTATTTATGCACTACATTCTAATTGATTTTTTTCCTCCATTTGCTTTTCCTTTTTCCTAACCCTCCACTTCTTGTTGTGACAGTCAAATTCTGTTCCATGACTGCCCGCATTTGTTGGGTAGAAAGGTCATATTTATGCAAGGAGCCAAAGAATCATCTTTGAGTGAGAAGGGAGTCAAAGAAGAGAAAAACAGAAATGAGATGCTGACAAATCAACGCGTTTTCTGAAATTTTGGAAGTAGACTTGGTCCTCTCCTGAGTCTTTAAATTCCCAAAACTCTACGTTTCCAATCTGATGAAAGGACAATTGTTCACGATCTTAAATGGTCAGCAGTCAATAACGTAATATGAACACGACTTTGATACCCCCCTTTCAGTCTTTTTTTTTAATCCATTTGGCTTGTTTCTATCAGCCTTGGATGGTACCATTTATTGCCATGCCACCCCAACTAAGCAAATTTTCACACTTCACGTTCACAACAGATATTTCTTCTAGTAGTTCTCAAGATTCCAAGTTCCAGCTGGTTGTTCTGTCTTTTTACTAATTTCCCAATTAATTTTCAGTTTCCTGCATTTTGAAAACCCTTATTAGTAGCATAGGGGTTATTTGGGACAGGCCAATTAACTAGTTATTCTTTTTTTTTTTTTGTCGCAACGATAATAGTTGTATAACCCATACTGGTCTAGTCTGGTTTAAGGAGAGGAGGAGTCGATAGATTATATTCTAATCTAATCTAAGAGGAGAGAGAGTCAGCAGAAACCTCATCGAAGGAAATCAATCGAAGGTGACAGTCACAATTAAGTGGCAAGTTTGGTGGGAGGTCAAGGAGTCTTGAGGTTGCCAACGGCCCAAGATGCTGCTATTAACTGGTTATTCAAATATTCCTACGTCTACTGAAAAAATTAAAAAGAAAGCCCTTATTAGTACTAATCAGCGGTGCGATTAATTATGTCAAGCGAGCTTCTTCACTCAACCAATTGTTTGGTTTGATGGCATGTTAGACGGCGATAATTTGTCCAACTTTCAACGTCCGATTTAATGTAGACTCTACTAAAGTCTTACGGTGGAAAAAGAGTAAAGTAAAGGACAAAGAATTGAACCACATATTTCAAGTAATTCTTTTGAATAAACAAACTTGATTAATTTTCAAAGATGGCCGTAACTAATACAGTAGTACTCTAAATTCTAATCAATACTCCTTTTTTTTTTGAAATGGTACTCTAATCAGAACTCGAAAAAATTATTATAATAAACCAATCAACGGCACCCATAATACATTGCCAGAAAAAGATTGAGTTGGATGGTAAAATAAAAAAAAATTATAAAATCTCCCATTTAGAAAAGAAAAAAAGAAAAAAAAAACTCATAATCCAAGATCGTACAAGTAAAGCACAGGCATTAACTTCAATAATTTGGAGGAGGTTACATTAGAGCTTCTTGAGAGAGGCTTTGAGGTGCGACTGTAGACTAGTAGCAGTAGTGGCCATTTCAACGACATATGTTAATTCATCATTGACCACCTTAAACCGTCGACTAATCTCTTTCACCTTAGTCGCATTCCCAATTAACTCGCTTCTAAGCGCCACGATTTTCTCCTTTGCATCAAATGTCCCTTTCTGAACTTCAACCAGACCCGTGCTTTGAGCGATCACGACTTCAATTGTGCCATCGGGCTTTGGTCTCCAGTACCCACTCTCGCCGTGCATGGGCTGAGCCTCGCCGGAATCTTTCAACTTCCAAGTCTTCTGGGAATAAGCGACCACGGGCTTGCTGGGGTGGTGAGAAAAAGTCACCTCTTCAAAGTATTGAAATGGGGTGATGGTAGGGAACCCACCTTCACCTTGGCCTTTCCAGGTCCCTAGCAGGAAGGACAGAGGTTGGACTGCTGGATGTGTTGTTGGTGTCGCCGCCTCGCCACCGCCGTCCATCTCTTCCTTGGTTGAGCTTCGTATTCTGAAGATGAGAAACTGGAGAATGTGTACTTATCTTATGCGGGAATCCTCCAGTCCTGCTGCAACACGTATCACACGTACCCTTAGCAATTGTCGATTACTACAACCAAAGGCCTGTGTCCGTATTGGGCCGAAAACAATTTTTGATTACTAACAAAATTTCGAGGCTCTCTAAGCTATTGTTGCATAATCAAATATTCGACAGACAAATTCATTCATATCTTTATTGACAAGATGTCAATTCAAGGGTCTGTAAAAAAAAAAAAATGTAAATTCAGTGCACCGAATATATGTAAGTTCACACTGAATATGTTAAACATTCGTCAATCAAAATTATTCAATTTTGAAAAATGCATTCATGGTCGGAATATAGAATGGTCAACACTGGTCATCATTTCGGCCAGATGTTATCTCACACAGTGAGTGCGTTTGGTTAAGACTTTATTTAAAATAATTATTATAATATTTTTTATAATATGATATATATCAGATAAAAAAATATTAATAAAATAAAAAAATACATTGAAAAATATATTTGTAATGTAATCAAATAATTTTTTGTATAAATAACAACTATCCACGCCCAGTGTTTTTACCTATTCAACATGTGATTGATTGGCTTAATCAAGGGTTTTTTTTTGAGTTCAAATTTTCTGCTTAATTTACCTTAAAAATTTTTTTTTAACCTCTAAGGAGGGATTTGTTCTGCTTAATTACTCGAATAAGCCTTGTTTGGATTGCAGTTTTCTGTCTAAAAATTACGTTGTTTTTCGTAATCACAATTTTCTATTGCCTTTTTTTTTTACATACATCAAATCGCTACAGTAATTTTTCCATGAAAAATCATGAAAAATGCAATCCAAACATATGGTAAAATTGTGACTCTGGCGATCTTTTTACTCTCATC